GAATCATTAAACATCCCAGGTGCTGAAACATAATGAGAAGGATCTAAGCCGTCGTCTTCCAAGCACATGATAGTGTAATTCATGAAAACATCCGCAAGTAAAAGTACATCAGTCTCAAGATAAAGGTCATGATATTCTCCAAAGTTCGTCATCTCGAATACTTGCCATACCTTTTGAGCATGTTCGTAATCCTCTTTACTAATATTTTGCTGACTAAGAAGTGAATAGAAGTCCTTTCTAGACGGGAGGCTTGTTCTGTCAAATTTTTCCCATGCATTTGTCCAGTCATATGGAAAGACGCCCTTTCTAAAAAGAAGCTTAATCTTATCTATTGAATAGCCTTTTTCAGTAAAATAGTTAACAGTTAGAGGGAATTTTTCGATTTTTCCACCTAGGCATTCAACTAATTAATCTAGTCTCATTCCCATATGCTGAAAGCTATCTAAGAACCGAAGCTGTCCTACATCTATGGCTTTGTACTTTCCTATATTCTCTGGAATGCAATTTAGCTTATCAGCCGTGAACTTGCTCACAACTTTCATAAGCGGATGAGAGTCATACCCCAGAAATTATGACAGATAAGTGGCACTTTGGTTTCGAAAGAACCTATATGTAACTTTTTATTACAAGAGTCATGAGCTGGGCCTCGGTAGTTTCCATTTATATGATCATGATCTTTTACTTTTCGATTAAGTGCACTTAAAGCTTCTCGGTATCTTTTCTGTACTTCTTTCTTTTCAGGATGTTCCTTTTCCATACATGATTCCCATTCTTTGATTTCTAATAAATTATGCTTTGCTTCTGTGAGTTTTTGTACTACCTCTGGTGCTGGTTTTAAGAAAGGTCCCTTGCAAATCCAGCATTCGGTCACTTCATTGTACGCCTTCAAGTCTTCTGGTGCCATTATCATTTCAGCCGGTGCAGATAAATCTTCTTGGATAGCTAGGAGTTCCTCTTCGATTTTGAGGACAAATCTTTCTAGCGCATCAGGTCCTCTATATAAATCGTGACTTATGATTTCATAGTTAAGTGAACTATCCATACGAACTACTACATAACAGTATCCACTTGGCTTATGCATCTGCAACCTTTCAGTAGAAGTTAACTTTGTTTTTTCTTCTGGGGTTAGCTTCTCAGTCAAGCACTCAAGATCCCAAAATATACGGTATGGATTTGGTTGCATACATTTATGATTATAGAAAGCTTTGACACTCCTATTTTTCACTGGCATTTGTGGTTGCTGAGGGGCATTATTTAGACCCTTGCATTTTGGCAAATGTTCATTATATCTTATTTCTGAAGAATATACATGAAGACAATAACGACAAATATATTTTCGCCCTTTATGTTTGCTATGATTATACACCAGCTTATGTAAATCTTTAATAATGCAGTAATGGCTTCTATCTTCTTCTGTAATTACTAGAAGATTTACTTGCTTGTATTCATTCCCTCTTCTTTCTGAAATATAGTGAAATTCAAGACACTCATTCTGGTTGTGCCATTCATAGACACATAGACTGATTTCAGGATTATTTTCTTCGAACTTTTTATAAACTGGTGTTGAGACTGGTACCGGAATCAGGATGTCATCCATATTAAGTTCCTCCACAAAACCTCCATATAGCTGATGCGGATTTCTTTCTGGATGAACTTTAACCGGATGTAAACTTCCTAGGACATAAAGCCAAAACACCAGTCATTATTATTTTGAATATTAATAATTCTGTTATTACGTTTTGGCATAGTTTCAGGTAAAGGTATATGGGCAGTAGGACCAATTGGATTGAAATCAGCTATCTCTATACTAAATTCTTCTATATAGTCGGGGTAAGCATCAGACATTTGGTATATTAGTTAGCTCTAACCGTCGCACTATTACTTGCTTATATAATTTTTTCTTTAATTAATTATTTCCTATTCTTTTCAGTTTCTGATCTTAGAGTTGCCACCAAAGGTGGTATTTACAGGCTTGCCAAAACGGTTTTAAGCTATTATGAAACTGAAGTATTAACTATTTATTAATTAATCTTTTGAAATTTAGTGTTAAAAAATAGGATGATTGGTGAATATTCATGTCCGTATCTTTGCAATACTGGAAAGGCTTGCAATAATCCTTGCATTCGCCCTGAAGGGTGCTGATTTCATTGGAAAGCTAAGAAATGAGTACCATGCCCTGATTGTGGTAAGCCTACATCCTCTGCTTGTGGCCGATGCCCACTACATGTTAGAGGCTATTATGTTATCCAATACTATAATAGACTTCGATCAGAAAGCCTTCGATCAGAGATGCAAGAAAGACTTCGATTAGTGATACAAGTAATACAAGAAAGTCTTCGATCAGAAATACGAGAAAGAACTTTTGAGCAAATAATGGACACCCATAGAGACAGACTTGCAAATCTTAATATTACTCTCTGTAAGGAATGCCTCCTTCCGATAAAAATGGATGATGGAGAATATTGTGATAGTTGCCGACCAGAATAAATGGAAAGATTATTTCGGCTAACTCTATATCTAAATCTTAGCCAGAATTTTAGGCGCAATATCCATTAGACATTTGCCTCTCTCTCGTTTATAGAACTTCGGGGTGGTAACATAAATATAGTTTTTTTCTTACCCCTCCTACCATCCTTGGACAATGAAGTTAATTTATATGCTATTTAACGAGCTAGCTTATGCAAAATCCATTCTTGACTAAGGAAAAGTTGGGACAATTCCACAAATTTTTTGGGAAATGTTAGAGTTATTTTCGTTAGATTTATTTGTGAAAAATTTTTTTAGATTTATTCATTATGCCATTTATTAAGCAGTCACGCATAGAAATAAATGCTGTTATATATATTTTTTGTTAAATTTATTTAATCATTATGCTATTTATTAAGCTATCCTGCGCAGAGCCTGTTCTTGACTAAGGAAAAGTTGGGACAATTCCGCAGATTTTTACAAGAGTTATTTTTGTTAGACTTTTATATAAAACATGCTAGTTAAGGAGCTAGCCTGTGCAAAACCAGTTCTTTATTCACAATTTTCGTTAGATTTATTAATGGGAAACTTAGGACAATCGTTTGACTTAAATTTTTTCATTAGACTTATGTCTGGGGAATTGGGACAAATTTTCATTAGACTTTTTTAAACAATATGCTATTTAACAAGGTAACGCGACCTGGAATAGATCTTGATATACATTTTTTCGTTAGACTTATACTGGAGAATTGGGACAAATTTTCGTTAGACTTATTGATTCGATATGCCATTTAATAAGCTAACGCGCCTGAAACCATTTCTGATATACATATTTTTGGTTAGACTTATTTATGGAGAAATTAGGACAGTTAGGCTTATTTTGGTTAGACTTATTTTTTGGTTAAATTTATTTATGGGGAAATTAGGACAGTTAGACTTATTTTGGTTAGATTTAAATGATTAATATGCTAAATAATGAGCTAAATCGCGCAGAATCAATTTCTAATATACGTTATTTTTATTAGACATAATAAATATAACCAAAAAGTTGATAAAGAAATTAAGAAGCTGGAGGTCATAGAAGCTCTTCTCATATAATAAGAAAAATCGATATGCTTCCTGAGCTTGGAGACCCCCACAACACACAATGTCGTGGGGGAATTAGAACTTCGTCCCAAAACCCCCACAATGACATTGTGTCATGCATATAGATTTTTTTTAAAATAAGTTTTATTTTATTTATACAAAGTTTCGACAAAAACATTAGAAAAAATATTAAATCAAAATACAAAGCTTAATACCAAACTCAATACATTAATAGTAGGTCAAAAAAAACTGGAGAAAAGAATTATAAAGTTGGAAGAGGATTGTATAAAGTATATAGGCTTTAATAAAACTTTTGAAAAAGTAAGGAATTGTTTTATATTATTTCAGTTTTATGTTAGTTATTGTTAAAAAACTGATGTGCATTATATAATCATATTTTATTTGATTTATTTTATTATAGAATCTGATTAAAAATATAGCAAAAGAGATACTATTTTGATCAATATATCTAACGCAAGAAGAATTGCGAGAAATTACAGAAAAATATGTATCGACAAATCATCTCAAATTTTTTGGTAAATATATTAGAAAGCGTTGGATGTCTTTTTATGAAAAAATATTTATCATGCTGTAGGTTTGCATACTTAAATTCAAATTTAATTGAGCTTTTATATAATTTTAATTTTTTCGATTTTATTTAACAGTTATTAAATAATATCAGAACTTTTGTGATACCTTAATGTCTCGAATTAAGGATGCAATGTTTTCGATATTTGGTGAGGCTTAGCTACTACCAATTAATACAAATGCAAGTCTGGCAGAGATTCAAAGTTGGAAAAAATCCAAAAAATTAAAAGAATGTCAGGTTAAATTATTTGCTCTAATAAAGGAGAGTAAACAAACTACTCACCTAATTCATATTTTGAATAAAGTATGAGGATCTAAGGAGAAAACACACCTTTAGATGACCTATATCAAAACCATTTGAAATATCCTTTTAAATCCAAAAATTAAACACATACAAATTTCCGAAATTGTAAAATTGCAAATGAAAAAATATTGGTAAGTTTTCATAATTTTACAAATATGCTAAATTTTAAATTTAAAAATATTACTTGCGAATAGGCTAAATATATTAAAATTTTTTTGTTTAAAGGAAACTTGATAATAATGATTCTGGGAGTGACACCTTAACCAACTCATCCATCACCTCTAAAAACTCTTACATCTCTGACCATATCACTGACAAAAATGACGTTGTCAATATATATGACAATGATAGTTTTGATAAATACAATGATGATGAAGACAATGAAAACAACAAAAAATAATTAAATAATGTAAGGTATATTTAATTATTATAATTATTTATTTTATTTAATGTTGCATAAGTTTACATATTACTGACTTATTTTACCAAATCTATTTTAATATTTCAAAAATGTAATATATTTATACCAGTTTTTTTGTTTGTTTGGTTATTTTTTTTTATGGATTTTTTTAAAAAATACTATAACAAAATATCAATGAAGCTAATTAACGTGAAGGGATAAATTTACTTAAAGTAATATAATAATTAAATAAAGTATTGTGCAATAAAATGATAAGTTACCAAAATTTTTAAAAGCAATTACCAGTGATCAGAATATAAATAATAAAAAATTCATAAACTTATTAACGAAATATAAACATTCGAAGTAGTACGTATCATAAAACCTTTGAAGTATTACGCATCATAAAAACGTCATAATACTACATATCATAAAATTGTCATAATACTACGTATCATAAAACTGTCATAATACTATGTATCGTAAAATTATCATAATACTACACATTGCAAAACTTTCACAATACTATGCAATGTAAAAATATTCAAAGTCCTACATGTCGTAAAGCTTCAAAGTATTATGCATACGTAATTTTTTGACAGTCTCGTAACCTTACATAATATTATAAGGCGTAGGGATTACATAATACTTCACTTTATTAAATTTACTGATGTAAAACTTTATTTAAAAATCTGTGAAATTTAAAAAAAAAAAATAAAACCATATCAAATAAAAAGGCCTTTCTAAACTATTTTTAGAAAATTTGAGTTTTAAAAATTTTGAGATTAATTATTTATTTATCATAAATAATTTTATCTAAACTTTTAATAGGTTTTCCTAAATTCAATTAAGTTTGATTAGGTTTCAGATTTAATAAAAAGTTATTTTATAGGTTTTAAAAAAGTTTAAGTTATATGTTAAAATAGGTTTTAAATAGTATTATTAATATAAAAGAGTAAAACTTATATCAAAACTTTAGTAAAAATTAGTAAAACTAAAGATTTAAACGTTTAATTAAATTTAAAATAAGTTTAAATAAGCAACTTTATACATGATATATATAATATAAATTACAAAATTAGTGTAATATAATTGATCAATAATATGAAATTCACTGTTAATTACTTAAAATTTCTCTGATACTATATTAAATAATGAAAAAAAATTTATATATATATTATATAAGAATATCATTAATATAAATGCATTATTTTAATAATTTTTTAAATAAAATATTATGTTTCTATTGACAAAATCTTATATAATAATCATAATTATATGTTAAGAATAATAAAAATGAAAAATAAATTCATTTTTATTTTAAATATAATTAAATTTTTAATCAGAATTTTATTTATTTTAATTAATATATATATTAAAGTATTAATATAATATTATATATAACTAATTAAAATATTTCATTATTATACAATAATTTTATAAATCTTTTATTAACATTAAATTATGTGATTATCAATATATTGTTGTTTGATTATTATTAAATATAAAATATGAAAATTAATCAACAAATAAAATATCAATTATTTTTTATTATTAATTTAGAATTTATAGTATATAAGCAAAACATATGTTATTAATTAATTAAAGCAATTATTTTCCTTGTATTAAAGGAATAACTTCTTGAGCCTTTTTAATAGCTTCTTGTGAAGGAATACTATTTTTACCATAAAATCTAAATAAAAAACTTAAAGATTTTAAGATACCTTTACCTTTAGCATATTGAGTAATGATATTCAAATGATCATCATTCAATCCATTATCCTTATACAAAAATATTTTTTTTATCGGACAATCACAATTTCTTAAAAAGGATTGCAAAGATTGTAAAGTAAAATCCCAATAAATTAAACCTAAATTTTGTAAAGTTTTTGGTAAAAATTTTCCAATTTCAGGAAAAACTTCATCATCATATAAACCTTTACTTGATACATTATTTAATATAAGATGTTTTAATTGTGTTTGTCGCAATGGACGAAAAAAATTTAGAATATTTGGATTTAATATATTAATATCAAGATATGATAAATTTGAACAATGTGTTGCGATATTTTCGAAGATGTTTGTTGATAATATTCTTGCGCGTTCATCTAAAGTTAATTGATTTAATGTGCCACTAGTACTACGTAATAAAGTGATAAGAGTATCCGATGACATATTATTATCAGTTAAGTATAATTTTTTCAATCCGAAAGGTGAATTAATTATTGTTTGAAAATTTTCCAAATAAAGTCCATCACATTGATGAAGTGAAAGAGCTTGTAAACGAGAATGTGAAATTAAATTAACTAAATTAAATATAGTTGAATTATCGAATTTTGTTTTTGTAAATCCAATTTCCGTTAAAGAACCAATTTGTGTCTCTAAAGCAAGAATTAAAGGTTCTAAATTTAAAGTCCAATAAGAAACGGTAAATTTCGAAAGATTTTGTTGAGACTTAATTAACGTGATCAATCCCTCTATTAACCTAGAATTTGTTTCGTGAAATTTGGAAATTTCTATATCACGTACTTGCGTGCATATTTGAGATAAACCAATTAAAATATTTGAAATATCATTTAAATCTTTGGTTTCCATGTAACGTGTTCCTGTGATTTTAATTTTTCGGAGATGTGAAAGTGAAATTTTAGCTCCAGGAAAAGAAGCAATATCCATTATTTGTGAAAAACAAAATGTTTTTGAAATATAAAGTTCATGTATTAAATTTGAATGTGAAATAATAAATTTTCCAAGTTCTTTTGTAATTAAATTAATTTTAATATATTCATCAGATTTAATATTATCGTCTCCATATTGATAGTAATCACAATACCATATATTAACATAAGCTGATAATTCATAATAGTTAAATTTTCTCAAGTATTTCGCATAACTAAATAAAAGTGATGATGATTCCGGTAAAAATATATCTAAATCTGTAAAGAAGGATTTTTCATCTTTAGTCATACACGAAATGTATGTTTTTATAAGACGTGATGATGATTTCCATTGTAAGCGACCAAATGGCCTACTCCATAATAATGGTACAACTTGACGACACCATAATCGATTTACCAAAAGGCAATTAAATAAAGTTGATCTGTAATATAACAGATATTTTAAAATTTGTTCGAGACATTCGAAAGGTATTTGCGTTGACATTTTGAAGAAATTAATTTTATTTTATTTTTTTTTTTAATCTTTTGGAGTTATTTAATACAAAAATTGACGAAGTGAAGATCTAAATGATGTAATTTTTTATTCATAGTTACATAAGGTTATTCCTAATTCGTTTTTTTTAAATAAGGCTATTTATGGTAATATAAATAATGTTTTAATATTCCCTAATTTTGATCACGAGAAATTCTTATTGCTCTAAAAAATCTATGAAAGATGTATTAAAAGGTAAGTTGAACCCTTAAAAATTAGATCCTTTCAGTTGATATAAGGGGTGTGTCAGAATGACATCATAACTTTTCCCAATTTGAAATTGTGGAATGTTGAACTTCTCAATATAAAATGACGTCTCTTACCTAGATTTGCTATTTTATTAATAATATTATATAAAAACTTTTATTACTATTTTATAGTAAATGATTCAATTAATATATCATAAGAATTTTTTAAAAATAATAATTATATTAAATTTTTTAAATTAAATTAATTTAAAAATAATTTAAATATTTACTAAAATAAATATTTTAACTATTTTTATTTTTTTTTATAAAGTTCATAAACAAATTAATCAATTATAATCTAAGAATAATATATCAAATTAAATAAATTTAATATTATAATATTTTTAATATTTAAATATAAATATAAAATCTATTGATAATTTTTATATTTTAATAATTTTATGTAAAAAATTATTAAATAACTAAATTTAATTATAAGAATTATAAGATAAAATCTGACTATTTAACATCAGATTGGGATAATAAGATTACTAAACAATCAAAAATAAATTATTAGATAAAAGAAATTTTTGATAAAATTTGATTAATAATAATAAAAAGACATTAACAATATTATTAATATTATAAAAATAGAACTTAGTTAGTATAAAAATATTATTAATATAACAATTATTATTTCTAAAGAATAATTTTATTATTATTCTTTTGGAAAAATCAAATTGTAATTCCTTTTAATTAATTTTTTGTCATTAAAAAGCAATAAAATTATCATACTTAAGGTTAATTATTCAAACTTATTTTAAATTAGACTAAATGCTTAAACTTTTAGTTTTGCTAAATTTTTATTAAGTATTTAATATATATTCACTAGTTTTACCTTTTTTTGAATTTTGCAGATTTTTTAATAAGGTTTAATATAATTTAACTAAGATTTATCTTTACTATTTAGATATTAAAAAGTCTACAATTTTATAATTTATAATGTAGTAATATGTATAATAAGGATTAATAAAATATAATAAAAAAATCATAAAAAAAATCATATGATAAAAAAAAGAATATTTATTTTATTAAAAGAAAAAAAATATTCAGATAAATTACAGACTGAAAAGAAAAATTACATAAGACAGATAAATTATAGAAAGAAATAATTCAGATAAATTAGTTATTGAAAAAGAAAGAATAATTAAAATATTGAACGAAGAATCAAGAAATCAAATAATTAATAAACTGAATAAAGATTCTTAAAGAAAGACTTAGAAGACTTAAAAGATATTTGAAAAATAATAATTAAAGAAGTAATACAAATATACAAAATTATTATATAAAAAACATAATAATTAGAAATAATAAATTAAGCTATATAAAAGCTTATATAATATGAGAATATTTTCAATAAAATCAAGTTATGAAGCATAGTAAATTATATGTTTCATAATGTAATTTTACTAGAAATGCTCTTATATAATAGTAATATATGATATCTAAGGTTTCTAGACGAAATCTTAAACACTTAGTAAAAATTTAGCAAAACTAAAGATTTAACTATTTTACCAAATCCAAAATGAGTTTAGACAAGCAATCTTAATGATATTATAATGGAAAATATTACAAAAGAATGTTATAAGAAAATATTACAAGAAGAAAAAAAGGAACTTAATAAGTAGATAAATTGTTAAAAGAAGTAATATAATAAAAATTCAGGTAATAAAAATAATAACAAAAATAATAAAATGTAAAAAATAATAATAGGAATTATAAAATTTTAAATATCATATAGTAAATAATTAGATTAATTATCACAGGTAATTATTATTCATCATTTTTACTATGTAAATTTCTTTTATAAATACTTTGAATATGATTGAGAAACCAAGTTTGATTTTTTAAAAAAAAATTTATTTATAATAAATAAATTTTTAAATACAAATAAAATGAATACTTTTGTTTGAAGTGATTAATTATTAAACAATAAAGTCATGAAAGTAAATAAAGTTATTTCGCTTATATATAAATATTAAATTAGAAAAAGTTAAGATAAATAAAATAATAAATATTTTATCTAAATAATAAAAGTAGAAATATTAATATAATATATTACAAGAAAGAATAATAGTAATATAAGAAATAATTAAAAGAAAAATAATAGTATTATAAGAAATAATATAAGAAAAATTAATTTGTAACAAAAGAAAGTTTAAGAAGAATATAATTAAGAGTAAGAAATATAATATTAGAAGAAAAATAATATAATAAAGAAGGATATTTAGACAACAATAACATTGTAAAAAAACTAAAATGAAATTAATACTCAAAATATAAGAAAAGAATTTTCAGCAATTAAATATTAATTTGTAAAACAAATCCTCTTGATAATAAGTGGCAGAAATAGTCAAGAAGGTACTAGCTATATTAAAGCTATTAAACTCAAAAATATTATATACTTATAAAATAAGAGTTATGACAACTATAACGTTTGTCTAAATTTTTAGATTTTGTCTAGTAATCTTAATTATACTAAAAGAATAATCAAACTATTATTTTGAAAAAATAATTTTATTATTATTATTAATAAATAACTAAATTATCATTCTTTTAGAATGATTTTATTATTATTTCAATCAGATAATACAATATCATCTATTTGTTTAGAATATTTATGATGAATTATTCTTAATGAATAATAGCTAAATTTCAAAATAATTAATATTTTAGTTTAATTTACAATATAAAACTAATAAACTTTTAGATTATTCTAAAAAAAATTTTTTTTTTTACTATTTTTCTTATTTTTAATAAGAGATAACTTTGGGTAATATTATTCAAAAAATAAAACTTCATTTTAAGGTAGGAAGTTAAATTCATTAAATTATAAACTTCAGAATAATTGATAAAATATTCTTGATTGCTACTATTACCTTTTATCAAAGATAATAAATTTACTATAATCTTCTAAATTATATTATCCCTTAAATGGTAATAATTTTCATTCAAATTTAGTTAAGATTTTCAATCAATTATTATACAAAATTCTACATAAAAACTTACAATTTTTTTTAATTTTTAGTTAAAATATGTTATAATATTTATTATAAATCTATTATTTTTAAATAAAATTTCATTTTTAATAATAAAATATTAAATATATACAAAATTTTCAACTTTAAAATTTATGATTTTTTTATAAATAAATAATATTTAAATATATAAATAAATGTCTTAAATATAAATTTATATATTTTGTAAAGTTTTTTTAATATTATAAAAATATTAAAGATTAAAAATTTTAGCTTTTTAAAGAAAATACTTTTATTAAAATATTTTTAAAACTTTGAACTTAAATTAATTCAAAAAGTTACTAATTAATGTAATTTTTTTTTTTGATTTTAAAAAAACATTATAAATTTTATTATAATAATATTATTGGTTTAATAACTAATTTTTAATATATTTAAAATTGACTTTAAAATGAAAGTAAAATTCCTTCTAAATTTGAAAGGAAAACCATTGAAGGGATAGATGATTTATTTAAATATGAAAATTTTATAAACCATCAAAATATTATATATAGGTAAATTATATAACATTATAAAAATATAAATGAAAGAATAATTATGTTAAATATAAAAAAACTGTTTTATTAAAAAATTATAATGTTATATTTAATTGTACAATCATTATTATTAATATTTCACATTACATTTTCTTTTAAAACTTTTATATTTTTAATTTACTTTGTGAATAATTTTATCAGAAAAGGACAAAAGTATTATATAGTTTAAAAAATTTTTGATTTAGATATTTTAGTTATTTATTATAGTTTGAATTAATATGTTGTAATTTATAAAATCAAATTTGAAAATACTATTAAAATTTGATTTAATATAAGTAATATAATTAAAAAACATATTTTTTTTTTTTAAAAAAAAAGGGAATTAATACAGAAAATTGAATTTAGTAACTCAAAATTCATAAATATTATAGGATTTCATTATATAATTATTATTTATTTTTTTGTAAAGGAAACATTCAAAAAGTTATATAAAAAGTTTGATAGAAAAATGGGATTCTAAAAATTTTTTAATTTTTATTACATTTTAATTTTTAATAATATTAAATTAAAATGCAACAAAAATTAAAATTTTAATAAAAAATGTTCAGAATTACATTTTTCTATCAAAATTCCTACATATCAAATCCTATATATAGTAAAGCTTAATAATGTTAATATGTGATTTTAGTAGACTGCTCTAATTAGACAGGATATTTGAGTGATGACTTTTTTAGTTTACATAATAATTTCATTAATTTTCACTAAACTTGTATAGTTCTTACAAAGATTTATAAAAGTCATCAAATTATTATTAAGATTTACGAAGATTGTATATCATTAAGATTTATAAGATTATATATAATTTTATCACAAATATATATACAAAGGTTGTAAGTTATTATTAAGATTTATAGAGATTAAAGTTTACAAAAAATCTGATCTGATCTGAATCTGATTTGATTTGAACCTTTAAATTTAAATCAGATTTATTAAATTTAAATCAAATTTAAATTAGATTCAAATTGAATTCAAATCAGTTTTTATGAAACTCAAATTGAATTTGTTAGATTTATATAAAGTCAGAATAGATTATTTTGACTATTTGAAATAGTGAAAATGATTAAAATAATGTTATATCACATGATTTTTTATATAAAAAATTTAAAAAATAACAAAAAATGTATAATTTC